CTCTCTCTCTCTCTCTCTCTCTCTCTCTCTCTCTCTCTCTCTCTCTCTCCCTCTCTCTCTCCTCTTTCTCTCCTCTTTCAAAAATAAAAAAGAACTTACTAGGCCTGGGGTTGTGGCTCAGTGGTTGAGCGCTTGCCTAGCATGTGTGAGGCACTGGGTTCGATTCTCAGCACCACATATAAATAAATAAAGGTCCAACAACAACTAATAAAGTATTTAAAAAAAAAGAATTTACTAGATTCCAGACCCAGGGGTATAATAGTGAAAAGACATTTTTTGTATTTCACCACATTGAAAGATAAATTTTAATACAGGGTGTTAAGTGTTAGATGCTATGATGGCAAAATCACATGTTACTCTAAGAGCACATGGGTAGGATCCTTGCTTCTCTACAAGGTCAGAGAAGACTTTTTTAGAGAAACGAATGTTTAGCTGAAACCTAAAGACTGAAAATGCTGTGTGTGTTCAGTGGAGTATTCTAGGCAAAAGATCTAGCATGTGCAAAGGCCCAGATCTGAGAGAGGGTCTGCTACTTCATGCTCTCAGGAAATGTGCTGAGCTTGACTAGTTTGTAGAAGAGCTGGAATCCTGGCCGAGTACCTGCTATCAGCAGGACTGCTGAGAAATGGCCAAGTACCATTTGGTACATACAGATCCTAGCATACCAACAACATCAAAAACTGACCTGAGGACTCAGCTGTTGTTGGCAGGTCATGTTTCTGGGCAGGAATGTTGTAATGCCTCAAAAGTGCCCCTGGAAGTAAGCCACAAGTCTACAGGTCATATATAGGTAAAACAAAGATATTTAAAGTAATAATACCACCTTACTTCGGCCTGCTGGAGAGTGAGGGGAGAAGTTACAGAGCCTTCTTTCCTTCCAGTCATACTGTGTACACCACAGGCAGGGTCCTCTTACATATCCTCACTTTAGATACAGAAATGAAGCCAAAAACTTTCTTTCTCCTCCTAATCAGAAACTTCTTTGGAAAGAGCATGCCTTTTGACATATTGAAGTATTGAACTTAAAACATGAAAGGAAAGGTGTATGGAGTTCCATAGGAAAATTCACCTCCCCTCAGTTCTGCATGTCCTTATAGCCTTTCACTTTCCTAAAGAATTAACATCTTCTAAGCAATTGAGTATGGTCTATATTTAATTACTTTTAAACAAACAACCAGGCATGGTGTGCACACCTGTAATCTCAGCAGCTCAGGATACCAAAGCAGGAGGATTGCAAGTTCAAACCCAGCCTCAGCAATTTAGCAAGGCCCTAAATAAGCAATTTAGTGAAAGACTGTCTCAAAGTAAAAATAAAATAAAGATGTCACACACCAGAGTTTTGGAAACTTGGCCTGAGCCCAGAGCCTCAAGGTACTAATAAAGTAATTTACAGTGCACCAGAAAGAATCTCAGAAACAGCTGGGACAGATGCTCAAATTAGAACCACTCTGCAGAGAACTGCCAGCCAAGAAGAGCTGGAAAGCTAGAACCATCTTTCCAGCTTTTCTGAGGGTTAGAGGTTTGGGAGGTAGGAAATAGGCCTACATACTTAAACTGGTTATGGTTCCAGGGTGGTCATAGTTATTTTCAAGTGCCTAAACATTGAGGCTTAACAACTGGCCTAGAAGAAGCCATAATGACCCTCCCAGGCTTTGTGATCTTTTTGGAGGGGTATGAGTAAATGTCTCTCTAGAGGATGGCAGAATTCCAGCTAGCCCCAAGAGTCACGACCGTGTATAGATCTCCACATCAGCCTCAAGCCCCAAGGCTTTACTCTTTCACTGTCCCAGAATTACCTTTTAAATTAGAAATGAGTACCATAATTCTTTTGGGTTTTTAAGAGAAAAAAAAATAGGTCCTGAATCCAAATTAAAGGATTCTTTAATTTAATAATATGCATATTATTTGGCCTGCTGTGTTGTGTCCAAAAATGTGAACCAAGCCATAAGATAATTTCCTATGATTGGATTTCAACCTATACCCAGAAATTGATCACAAAACTATCAAGCTGTTTTCTAAAATGTACACATCTCAAATTTGGAGACACATATAATGTTGCCTATCTGAAATACAAATTATCTTCCTGCAGAATCTGCGATTTTTCCCAATTTTAGAGAGGGAAAAAAAAGATTTGTCCTTTTTGCACTTAAATGATTTTGGTCATATATGTACACACAAAATCATAAACATTCTGTGTTTCTTCAGAGTTCTTTGTTTATTTGTTTGTTTATTATGGAGATGGAACCCGGGGCGCTTAACAACTGAGCCACATCTCCAGCCCTTAAAATTTTATATTTTACTTATTTTTTTTAAAGAGAGAGGGAGAGAGAGAATTTTAATATTTATTTATTTTTTTTTTTAGTTATCGGTGGGTACAACATCTTTGTTTTGTATGTGGTGCTGAGGATAGAACCCGGGCCGCACGTATGCCAGGCGATCACGCTACCGCTTGAGCCACATCCCCAGCCCCTTAAAAATTTATTTAGAGGCAGTGTCTCGCTATGTTGCTGAGGCTGGCCTTGAACTTGCAATCCTACCTCAGCCTCCTGAACCACTGAGATTACAGGTGTGAGCCACTACGCCTGGCCTCATTCTGTTTCTTAAGAAAATCTTAAAGGCTGAAAAATATAGTGAACAGTTTCTAATAAAAAGTGTTAATTTTGTGAGGAAACCAGTAACATTGGTCCTGCTCTTGCTGTGAGAGCAGAGTTTGCTTATGTTGATATGCTAGCCAAGGCCTGCTAGACTGCCAGGCTTGAGCAGGTGGGATGGATGATTTCTGAATAAGTCCAAGGAGGTCCACATGGTTGGCTTGTCACTCTCTGATCTGTTGTTTTTGGTTTTGGTTGTTGAATTTTCTTTTCCACTTTTAATTACAAACACAAAAATTTACTTCCACAAATCAGTGAACTTTCTTTTAAAATTGTATAATGTTCACAAACATGCAAATGAGTAGTTTTACTTACATCAATTCATATGAATACAGAAATGGTTTTCTAGTTTCCTTTCTCATTATTTATTTACTCTTCTATTTATGATAATTTGTGTTATATTCGGAAGATGGATCAGTAGTTAAAACATGAAATCAAAGCACAAGTTTGAAACAGGGAAAATATGTTAATGCTATGGAAACTAAGAGCAATCTATAAATAGCAGCGGCTGTGATGTTCCTGAGACAACCTAAGGTGCCTCTGACAATACAGTAGGTGATTGCCCTGATCCTCCCACAGCCCATAACTTGAGAAGCAACATCTTAAAAAAAAAAAAAAAAMAAAACACTTTTCAAATATACAGATTTGATTAATTAAAGCAGACATTTATTGCCAAAATGCAATGAGCATAATAGATACATCTTGTGGGAGAAAACCCTGAATGATTACTGCCTGAAACTGGTCTCTTTTGTAGCATTATTTAAAAAACAGCCTTGAGCCATGTTAATCCCAGTGATTCAGGAGACTGAGACAGGAGAATCTCAAGTTCAAAAGCAACTTAGTGAGACCCTATTTCAAAATAGAAAATAAAAAGGGATGGTCATGTACCTTCGTGGTAAAGTGCTTGCCTAGCTTTCCCAGGGCCCTGGATTTAAGCCCCAGTACTACAACAACAACAAAACAACATTATCAATATGCTGTCAGATGAATTGTCCTCTGATTAGTAAAGACTAATAAGTAAATCAGAGAGACTGATTCTACCACATGGGACAGCAACATGATCTCCCAAGTAAGAAAATACTCATTTTGGAAAAAAAAAAAATGGGGGTTGGGGCAGTGGGGATAGAATCCAGGAGTAATTAACCCAGCCCTTTTTGTTTATCTCACTAAGTTGCTGAGGCTGGCCATTTTATGTTTTTGCCATTCTCCTGCCTCAGCCTGTGGAGTCCCTAGGATTACAGGTGTGTACCACCTGGCACATGGCTTACATATGGAAATATTCACCAATGGAAGAATGAAAATATTGCACAGGCACCTCTTGGAAAGTTATGTAGGTCTCATTTCTTAACAATTACCATAGCTAACAGCAGAAAAAAATTTATGTTTACATATATATAGGAGTCTGTTCTCAAAATACTATGATACAGGGCTAGGGCTGGGGCTGGGGCTCAGTGGTAGAGTGCTTGCCTAGCACGTGTGAGGCACTGGGTTCAAGCCTCAGCATCACATAAAAATTTAAAAAATAAAACTATTGTGTCCATCTCCAACAAAAAATATTTTTTAAAAATTATGATACAAAAGAGAAAAATTGCTTAGGAACACTAAACCTAACATGCAACATCAGAAAATTTAGTCTAGTTTCCAGAAATGGATAAATCTGATTCATCAGCTACTCAGAAGGCTGAGACAGGAGGATCACAAGTTCAAGGCCAGCCTGAACCACTTGGTGAGACCCTGTCTCAAAAATAAAAAGGTCTGGAGTATAGATCAGTGGTAGAGTGACCCTGGGTTCAATCTGCAGTACCACACACATACAAAAAAAAAAATTTTTTTTTTAATATTTATCTGTTAGAAGTATTTGTTCCCTTTGATGAGAAGCATTTAAAATATTTTTATATCAAAAATATCTACAATAGGGGCTGGGGATGTGGCTCAAGTGGTAGCGCGCTCACCTGGCATGCGTGCGGCCCGGGTTCGATTCTCAGCACCACATACCAACAAAGATGTTGTGTCCGCCGAGAACTAAAAAAATAAATATTAAAAATTCTCTCTCTCTCTCTCTCTCTCTCTCTCTCTCTCTCACTCTCACTCTCTCTCCTCTCTCACTCTCTCTTTAAAAAAAAATATCTACAATGAAGCAGCATGAAAAATAAGTGACTTTTTAGTCAATTAACGAGATTTTTTAAAAATTTGGAGGGCTGGAGTGACTCAGTGGCAAAGCACTTGCCTCACAGATGTGAGGCACTGGGTTGGATCCTCACTGCTACATAAAAATAAACAAAATATATTATGTCCATCTATAACTAAAAATTTTTTTAAATAATGTTTACATTTGGAGAGCTTTAAGCTAGTCATTGTACTTTGCCATAGAAGAACTTTGTATGGATAAGTTTTTGAGAAAATGGTTAAAATCTGAGATAAGATTGATCTAAGAGAGCTGGGGTTGTGGCTCAGTAGGAGAGCATTTGCCAAGCACTTGTGAGGCACTGAGTTTAATCCTCAGCACAACATAAAAATAAATAAAAGCATTGTGTCTATCTATAACTTCAAAATTTTTTTAATTGATTTAAGACACTGATACAAGAGAAGTTAAAGGAATTAAAACATGCCATTCCCTTTTATGTCACTGTTAACCTGTATATGTTACTAAGTTCCCATCTCTTCCATGTAGCCTTCAAGCTTACATGGGCTCAGAGAAGGCTGTTGCTTATTCTGAAGAGTCCCTTACTGCAAAACAGTAGCTTGGTTCCAAAAGGGATCCAAAATCTGATTTCTAGCACAATTTATTCACTTGCTGTGGCATCACGTATTGACTCTGTACCAAAAGCACTGTCAGTCTATCCATACTTTATTGAGTGGTGGCAACTGGTTAGGGAGATGGTGGGGTAATTGCCCAGTTAAAAGGGCTCTCTCCTCACCCTGCCACTTTTTCCAGCAGGGTGAGTATTTCATTTCCCACCACCTGTATCACATTTCCCCAGTTACTGGGCCCTGGTATGAGGTCTACATGTTCTTTCCACATAAGTCATCAGGTAAAACCATGACTTTCTCCACACTGAATGCCCCTTTGACTGATTCRTACTCTGGTACACTAGACCGCACTTTGGAGCTGCACTTTGGTCAGCCCTGGTTGTTGTGGACTGCCTAATGGGCTGAGTGGTGAAGAGCTGTCTCAGCTGAATGTGTCCTTCCTTTTCCCCCACAGACATAACCAGTGCAGTGCAATCGAAGCGAAGAAAATCCAAGTAAAACAAGCTGGACGGTGACTTGATACTTGTAAATGTGTGTGAATTTTACAAAGAGCAATTTTGAGCTGTGACTTTTTTAAATCTATTTCTGTACAGTTAGTCATTTTAATAATGTGGCCCTTTTCCTAGTCCCTGCAACCTGTTTTTGTAAAGTGCAATGGGGAAAAAGCAGGGTTGTTGAGCCCTTTTGGTGTTGCAAGATGAAGTTCAAGATTTTTAAAATGTTGCCATGTATTGAGAGGAGCTAATGCCATTATAAATGTTATTAGTTTTCACATTTCCTAAGCAGCCTAGAGTACAGGGTGAGCATTTTTAGGTCCTCTAATGATGTATTGTGCTGTGGAAGTACTGTGTGTGAATAGCCGTAGCAGGGGCAAAAGCAATCTTGTCATTTGGAAATGTTGTAAATAATTTTATTATATAGTGTTTTGGATGTATTTGTTGTAGAAATGGACCAGTGAATAAAGAGAATCTAAGGGTTTGTACAATGTGAAATACTGAATGTGCTAAATAAATGTCATTGTCATAGAACATAAAGGTACGTTATTAGCAAGGGATCATTGAGAGAGCAAGCTTTCCTTGGATCATAAATGAGTAGACATAGCCTTCTTTGTGAATTAGAACATCCACATGAAATGCCCACCTAGCAAGTTTAGGAAATGCATATGCTTGCTCACTCAATTCCTTGGTTTTAAAGAAACCAGCCCTGTTCAGCCCTATACCAGGTACTTTGATATATATTGGTCAAATTTCTTTGTGTTGTAAATAACAATCAACTTAGGATCAAAGGCCACCCAAAATTTTCTAGAGATAGGAAACTTAGCAAGTCAAATGGTACTTTCTCTCCACCTCATATATCTGCTTCTCCTCCATGCGTGTGACAGATTGCCCCAAACAACTATGTTTACATCTCCTCCATTCAGAAGGTAAGCCTAGTCTGATCACCAACATTCTTTGTACCAGCATCAAGAATTTATCCCACTACGGGCTGGGGTTGTTTCTCAGTGGTAGAGCACTTGCTTAGCACCTCTGAGGCACTGAGTTTGATCCTCAGCACCACATAAAAATAAATAAATAAAACAAAGGTATTGTGTCCATCTACAACTAAAAGAAAAAAAAAATTTTAAGGAAATTATCCCACTTTAGGTCAGGTTTCCACCTTTAGTCCAATTCTGTAGTTACTTGGGCAACTCCTAAGTTAAAGGGGTCATTTTCTATTATATATTTTAGAGATGTCTATCACACCCCACTCTTTAGGGCCTAAGAATGACATCTCATCAACATACCAAATTTTTCCCTTTTTGACTCAATTCTTTAAAATTTGCATATTCTCTAAAGCCATCTGCTTTTGCTCCAGCCCTCCTCCCAGCCTTCAGGGAACTCCAGGGCTTGGGGCCCTGTCCATGTCTCATGTGGTCTTCAGCCTTTTTGCTTTTTCCTCTTAGGAATAGAATTTCCCTCCAGTGGCTCCTTGCCCTTGCCATAATTGAGTGCCCAAGACCAAAAGAGTCAGTGACTCTACTCTGTCTTGCACTTATTTTCTCTCTGTTTCAACTCTTAATATATGTCTTTTATTATAGGGATCCTCTAAAATAGTTTTTATGAGTCAGACCCCACATTATGTGCCTCCATATCCAGCAAGTTTATCTACCCTTTTCATCCCCTGTATAACACACACACAGCCAGCTTAATAATAATACCCTATGCCTCAACTGTGCTTGAGATTAGAGAGTGCTTCTCATTCTTTAGCTCAACTCAGGCAGAAAGCATAATGTGCTTTAAATAAATTTTTTTATTTGTTTTTCTTTATATTATTTTTTTCTCCCATAGAGGAATAGCATTACAGTCTAACAGAATCCTGTTACACACATACACAGGCATGCCACATGACCAGGTCGAGGTGGTTGTGTCCTTGAGTCTGTCGACACATCACAACACAGTCAACCAAAGTCTCCTTGTTTCAGCCAGTCTCAACACAAAACACCCAACAGGGATGTACTTAATGTGTTGGTTCCATCTGGGATTAGGTGGCAGGGTAAAAGGGAAGATATTAAAAGTGGGTTATGGTGTGTCTGCATTCACTCTCTTCACACAAAGCTGCATGGATCTGGAGAGGCATCCAAGAGCTTTGTGGGGTGCTTGTTGCACCTAAGACATTATAGGTCAAGCAGATTCATCACAGGGTTCCACTCAAGGGCTGAGGGGCAGGCATACTCCAAAACAGCACCAAACTGCACTCATACACACATGGTGCCCTGCTGGGGCTAGACTGACAAAGGTTAAAAATTGACACCCAGCTCAAGGGAACCACTCAAGACTTATCGGGAAAAACTGGAAGTCACCCTTTGATGTAATTGGGACTCACTCTAGAAATGGGTCCCTCTGACATCCTTAGTTTTGGCAAAGTGCTGGTAATATCAACATTAATACTTACAAACTGGTACAAACTTCTCCAGGATCAATGAAAACATCAGTCAAGACAGACTCTCTACCCACTCTCCTATCTAAGGTTGCATAGGACTTTGTGAATTCTGGTTCCCTCATGTGTTCAAGTTCTGTAGTTTAAGAAAAAAAATCCTGAAGCATGCTCAAGGTGAAAGGCACATACACAGTCAATACAGTATGACAAGGTCTGATGCTTCAGGAGTCAGACTAATAGGAGACTGAGTAGTGTTGGTTCTTAGAAATCTATACATGATTAAAATATTGCCACACTCAAATGCTACAGAATCTATAGGAAAGTACAAACAAAAATTTATAATGAGCCTTGCAACCAGCTAGGTGATAGATTGGATGGTTCTAGAACTACAGGAGCCTCCATAAATATAGGTAAAGGGCAGGGCCTTTTGAAATTTAGGCCTAATGTTCTATCACTCAAACTCTTCCCCCACCAGCAAGATCATGGGCGCTGCCCAGAACTGAGCCTTGGCCCCAGCTGGTGTTGTGTAGGCAAGAAGGTTGGAGGGATTCAGCTCTTGAAGTGCTGAAGACCCTAAGCTGGCTGTGAAGTGACCAAGGGATAACTGGAAGAATAAAAGTTGATAGGTTGTAACTGAAGAACTTTGGGAAAGGAGCAAGGTTGTCAAATGTGAGAGCCCTAGTGAGCTGGCATAGGGACTTTGATCTGCTTGTAGTGTCAGTTATACGTTGGGATAGGAGACCCCAACAGGGCTTCCTCTGTCCCCATCCCAGCATCCACAGGGATACTCCCTTCCTACTCTAACATGTGCCATGGGAGGTCTGGGGCTGTAGGGTCAGGGAGAGCAGCTGCCTTTGCCCTCATGGGAATGCAGAGTTTTCTCCAACCCCAGCTTGGCTGTGAGGCCTGGAAACCTGAAATTGGGGTGAAGGGGAAGACCTATGTTAGTATGTAACAGGAAATCTTAAAAGTTTCAAGGAAGAAAGTGCACACACTAGAAAAAGACAGCTAGAAAGAGAATGGGAAGCAACTCAGGGCATCCCAAGAGGCTGTTGCTGGTGTCTGAGCCCAAAATTCAATCCCACCACAAGAAAGGGAAAGCTGGCTGCCCCTGTCCCCTGTGTCTCACTCAGGGATTCAGGTTCTTTCCTCCAGGTAGTACTGGAGAAGAAGGGGAGGGGGACCGTAGGGCACCCATTTCTCCCCAGCAGCCTAGAAAGGAAGAGCCCTGTGGGAAAGAAAGAGGCCCCTGAAGGCCCTGAACCTGGATAGGGAATTTTTGGGAATTGGACAGTGGGCTGCTGACCTCCAACCCAGGAGTGTTTATTAGCCATAGTGAACAGGGTGTGAAATACAAGGCCAGAGGCAAGATGAAAGGCTGAGCTGTCAGTCTTGGGATGGCTTCACCCCAAGGCTTGTCCTCTTTAGCATTCTTACCTTGGGGTGTGTGTGCCCTTTCCCTGCCTAGAACCCCTCTGGCCTGTGTCTCTCCTAAGCTAGTTCTAGCACCTTGGGCATGTGAATAGTTGACCAGGATGGCAGGCCTTGCCCAGCTTCTACTCCTGGGGGAGCATATCAAGGTAGGGTGGCAAGGTACTAAGCCCCTCAGACTCAGGGGCCTGCAGAGGGTAGATTTCAGAAAAAGATTTGGAAGTGAGATTATAGGAAAGAGAAAGTGGGGGCAGACTTCAAGCTACAGCAAGAGAGCAGGGCATGGCCTCTCTGAGCAAGCACAGTGCCAGCTCCCATGGTACCCTGCTCCCTATAACTTCTCAACTAGTCTGTCCTCTGTACATCTCCAATAGGCTGTTTCTTTCCCTTGATTCCCTCCACCTCCTCCCTCTAACTCACACCTCACTGTCCTCTTTCACATACATTACCTTTCCAGGTCTAAACAGCTTCAAGGAGCCCAGCCCTCCACTCCCCCCTTCCCCAGAAAGAGAGAAGGGAGAAACCAAAAGCAAAACCCTGAGCCTGACTCCTTACTGGAGGGAAAGAATAGTGGCCCAGGCCCCACCAGTTGTACCTGGTCAGAGTTGGGCTCAGAGTTCCCTCCCTTTATCCATATTGTGAGGGAATGAATAATAAGGGAGCCAGGAGTAAGTGTAATGCCAAACATGAAAGGGTGAGGTGCAAGTTGAAGATGGGGAATGAGCCAGATCAGGGTGGAAGAGTCTCTCAGAAATAGGGGTGGGCCAAGAGGGCAAAGATGAAAGGGAGGGACAGGGATGGAGGGCCAGAGAATTCGGAAGCATGAAAGGTCCAGAGTGGGGAGGATGGAGGATAAGATGCTGGTGAGGGTGAAAGGGGCTAAAAGGGATTCAGAAGTGGATTAGAGGATCAGAGATGGGGAAGGAAGGGCCATCACCCCACCTCACATACTCTAAGGAGGAAGGGAGTTGTGGTGCAGCCTGAGGCGGCGCCCTCCGCCCCTCCAGCAACATACAGGCTGCCACGGAGGAGAGTGACAGGGATCCAGGGACCGCGAGGGATTAGTGGCGCTGCTGGCGGACACTCAGTAGTTGAACTGGCGCTGGCAAGGCTGGTAGATGAAGCTACCCTGGTGCTTAGGCCGGCGCGGACGGCTCTCTCGGGCGCGGTTCTGCCGTTGAACCGCCTTGGCGCTCAGCGCATGGCGCTCAGCCCGCTGCCGGGCCCGCTGCAGTCGTCGTACCTGGCCAGCCTTCTCCAGCAGCACCGCCCGCGCGGGCAGAGGAGCCGCGGCGTGATGCAGGACCCGGGGCTCGCGGCGGGCGGGTGCCAACTCTCTGCAGGGACAAAGCGGGTCTCGGTCAGAGTGGCACATGGAGGGATTGGGGGACTGGCATCTCGCTCCGCTGTCCCCAGTTCCCTTTTCTTGGCGCACTGTGGTGTCTGCCCCAATCTGTATTGCCCCCAGCAGCCCCACCCCCTCGGCCCCAAGGCCTCCCACCCTCAAGGATTCAAACCCGGCCCAAGCCTCTCAACCCAGCCCAAGAATCTCAGCCACGACGCTCCTAAGCTCCGCCCAGCCACGAGGCCACACCTCCCATCTGAAAGCCCAGCCCATAGGCCCCGCCCCTTGTCTCGATACACGCCTCACTCCCGAAGCCTCGATCAAGACCCCTAGGCTCCAGGCTCCGCCTTCCGCTCACTCACCCTTCTCCGAGGTCGCCATCCGGCAGGGCAGCGTCTGGGTGCGGGGAAGGGGGCCCAGGCTCCAGCACTATGGTGCTGCCGGTGACGTAAACGGACATACTGGGGTGCTCGATGAGGAGGTCCTCCAGGGGGCTGCTCTGGAGGCGGGTGGGCCCGAGGCCGGGCCCCTCTGCAGTAAAACAGGCGGGAGGGGTAACAAACCAGCTCTCGTCCATCAAGGAGGGCGCGGGCGGAGGGCGACCCGCGGGGGCAGAGGCGGCCCCAGGGCTGGGGGGAGCCTCGTAGCTGTCTACGGGGCGCGGGAGAGGGAGCCATGCGGAGGAGGGAAAACAGCAGGGAGAAGGGGGACAGACACACACACACACACACACACACACACCGGACACAAGGGGCGGGGAGAGAAAGGGCAACGTTAGTCAGACCCGCAGCCGTGCCCGCCATGCCCACGGAACACCCTCAGACCAGGAGGCTCGCCCTGCTACCCTGATGTGTGGCCCCAACACTGAGCCGCCTGGAGACAGCTCAGGCTTGCAGGGTCAGGGACCATGTTACCCCGCCTCCAAGGCCACTGCCTCAGCTCGTTTGACCAGTAGGTTTGGGGAAACTCTCAAATCCCCAAACAACTCCTTTCCCCTCCACTGCTGAACCGTCGGCCCTTTCCAATGACTTCACAGGCTCAGGAGTTTGAGTTGTGGCCCCCGACTCAAGTCTCACCCGGCAGGTCAATGATAAGCCAACCGTCCACTTCATCTTCCTGCGAGACAAAGGCGTGGGGACAGTCGGAGTCTTCTGGGGGGGAGGGAGTACTGAAGAAGAGGCTGGTGAGGCGCTGGAACATTGTAGGGCAGTGAAGCGGCCTCAAGGAGGCGCCCTATGGCAGTGCAAAACCTGGGGTTCATAAAGAGAAGTCAGTCACTGAAATCCACCGCCTGGTATCACCCCTATTCCCCAGAGCAGCGATAAGAGTACAGGTGAGATGTGTGGGGAAGCTTTTGAGGTGTGAGCTTTCTGCACTCAAGTCCAGGCTTTTCTGAAAGTCTTCTGTTATGAATTTAGTATATTTATTTGTGCCTTAGTTTTCTGATTTATCAAATAACAATGATATCCCTTTTTTCTTAGCCTTTATAAAAATTAAACGAACTGGGCTGGGGTGTAGCTCAGTGGCAGAAATAAGCTTAACATGCTTGAAGTCCTAGGTTCAGTCTCCACCTCTGCCAAAAAAAAAAAAAAAAAAAAAAAGAACATCATTGTACCCTCCTCTGGACTTTAATGAGAATTAAATAAGCTGAATGAAGCATAATGGCCCACACCTATATCCAGCAATTTGGGAAGATAAGGCAGAAAGATTGCAAGTTCTAGGCCAGCCTCAGCAACTTAGCAAGACCCTGTCTCAAAACAAAAAAATAAAAACGCTGGAGATGAGGGCTGGGATTGTAGCTCAATGGTAGAGTGCTAGCATGTGAGGCACTGGGGTCAATCCTCAGCACCACATAAAAATAAATAAAATAAAGGTATTGTGACCATCTACAACAGAAAAAAAAAAGGTTTTTTTTTAAAGGCTGACGATGTAGCTTATTGGTTCTGGTTCAGTCCCTAATAACCCCACACACACACATACAAAGAGCTAAACATTTATAAAGTGCTTAAAACAATTCTGGGCACACAGTAAGCACTCAATAAACTAACAAACTCATTGTTATCCCAAGGTGCTTTAGGGATATGGAGTGATATGATATGTATTACAGGCTCTGTCAGGGAAATTCTCCAGAGGATCACACATCCAATCTGGTCCTTGAAGAGTAAACAGAAATTCTCCAGGCATGGAACAAATTCCCCATATTGTGATTGTTTATTATCATCATAATAATATAACATTCATGTACCAGGCACAATACTAAACAGCTTCATCTATATTACCTCTTGCAATCCTTATACCAAAATGTGGAAAGTGGGCATAATTACTCTTATTTTACATGTAAAGAAAATAGAAGTAAGGTGAGGCTTAGAGAAGTAACTCAACTTGCCCAAAGTATTATAGCTAGTAAAAGGTGGGATTTGAATCCATGCAGTACCCATGATCACTAGAGCCCACTGCCTTTGCTGGGTGTCTTTCTGGATTAAGTATTTTTAACTTGGTGACTGAGGTCATAGTCTCTGGGTATTTTTCTGAGGAAAAAAAAAAGGGGGGGGTCTTGGTTTTCATCATTTCCTCAACAGCATCTTTGATCCTAGAGACTAAGGAGACTGTGCAATTTGAAAAGTTCTAGCTAGCAGAAATGCCACAGAACTGCTACCATCCTGCCATGTTATTGGGCAAGCCTCAGATGTGTCTGCCAGATGAGGTGTGAAGATTCTATGCCCACAGGCCCTACCCACTCTAACCTCCTTTTCCCAGGCTCCTGCTCAAGGACAGCATCCTTGACTAGGAGGAAGATCAGGTTGCTTGCTCCAATGAGGCAGCAGGTCTGTAGAAGGTGATGACAGAGGGTGGGACCTATCAAATCCCAGGACCCCTTAGGATGAACACTGAAAGTTGGACCAGGACCCAAGCTCTTAGCCTGGGTGAAGATGTGAAAGAAATCCCCTCTTGCAGAAATAGAGACAACAAAGTAGTGACTATAGATCTGCTCTTGGCTCATTTTACAATCTGGGGTTCAGAGGGAGACTATAAATGCATCGAAAACACACAGCTAGATAGTGGGGGAGCATTCAGTCCAAAGTCAGGAAGTCTCAACAGATAATCTCCAAGAATATAAAGATGTGGGCTGGGGATGTGGCTCAAGCGGTAGCACGCTCGCCTGGCATGCGTGCAGCCGGGGTTCGATCCTCAGCACCACATACAAAGATGTTGTGTCTGCCAATAACTAAGAAATAAATATTAAAAATTCTCTCTCTCTCTCTCTCACACACACTCTCTCCTCTCTCTCCCCTCTCTAAAAAAAAAAAAAAAAAAAAAAGAATATAAAGATGCATAGGAGGCAGGGAGGTCAGACAGGGACCTTGATCCAATCACTGCCCCTCTGTCCAGCCACAAAAGACCGGAGTTCCTGGCATCAGGATTCAGCATGCCTTTACCAGAGCATTCACTATGTACCAGAACCTGCAGCAGACCTCCTCAGTTACAAACAGATTGAGGTAAGAGAGGCTCAGAGGTCACAAAGTGTGAATGACAAGCAGCACCAGACAGCCAGTGCCCACCCCCTCTCTTGATCACTGGGGGAGCCTCTTGAATTTCTTTCCCAGCCCTGCCAACTTCCTGGTTCTCAAATTCCCAGCTCTGCTCCAGGAAGAGCCATTCCCTTTAATAACTACAGCAGCTGTGCCCAGAATAGCATTTGAGGCCTAAGCCACCTCTAGTCCAGCCCATCCCTGAGCAAACTCCAGCCTGGGATGGGACTCCAGGTCCAGCCTCTAGACCCATGCACTTGGAAAGTCCAGAATCTCTCATCCCCTTTCCCTTACCCTTATCTGAGCAAGGAGAGGGGGCAGTACAACCTTCTATAATCACTAGTACTAGGCCAGGTCACATACCCTCCTAGCTGACAAGCCAGAGTTGGGGAGGTGGTGAGCAATCATAGAGGGAACTCTCATCTCACCATCTATCTTAACCAAATCAGCCCTGGAGATACCATGAGACAGTTGATAGCTCACTTTTCTGTGATCAAAAGTTGGCAGAGATTTTATTGGATTGGAAGGAAGAGAGCAGAGGGGTCAGGGCAACCAAAGGGGACCTAGATCCCCAAAGGTCTCCTAGAATAAGGTTAAAGAATGAAGAGATCTAATTGGGATGGTGCTGAGTCCAAGACACGGTACTCAGGGGAGAAGGATGTGTAACTTTTATTGAACTCCTAACTCTGTACATGCCTGGCACTAATGCCATTCATCTGTCACTCAATTAACATGACTAGTTAGTTGACTGTGTCCTCGAGTAAGCTACCTCCCTTCTCTGGGTCTCAGTGCTTCCTTCTCTGAAATGGGGTCTAAGACACCTCATGTGGAGGCTAGGAATGACATCAACTAAGGCGCTGCACACATGTCAGGGATTAGGAGGATGTTATTGTGTTAGTCCCCGGGGGGCGGAGCCTGGAGCAAGAGAGGGGATTCCTCCACCATCTGTTGCTATTCCAAAAGACCTGGAATAGGAAGGCCTCCTTGATCCCCTGACCTGAACATGGTTGTGTCGTCAGACCCTCAAGTCGCAAGGAGAAAGGGTATCAGAGCCTTGACCCCAACCCCGAGATTAGCCCAGGAAACCGCAGAGCCCTCTAGGGCCCCGCTAGCCTTTCAGCGTCTCTCACCCTTGGTCCCGCCCAACACGGCACCCACCGGGTCACGGGAGGACAAGCGACCCAAGCCTGGGGGGCGGTGCTGGCCTTGGTGACGTCTCAATGTCATATGCAAATAGTGCGACGTCAAGGTCTACCGGCGCGCGGCAACCAATAGGGAGCCCGGAACGCAGCCCCAGCGGCCGGCCGTGGAGATAGACAAAGGCCCCGACACAGGGGGCGCAGGGCGTGTCCCCGGGCTCAGGGAGCCCCGGGGCCCAAGCTGGCGGGGACTCACCTGGGACCCGGAGCGACGCGGCAGGCGGGGTGATGCTGAGGTAGTTGTACAGCGGGGCGTCCCAGGGTAGCAGGCTGTTCACAGACCCGGCCGCATCGCGGGGACTGGATGGGGAGGCGCGGGGATAGCGGTGGGGTGCTCGGAGCTGCTGTGCTCACCCGCGGGGCTTTGAGTCTGTGCAGCCGCTGCGGCGGGGCTCACGGCACAAATTGGAACGTCCAAACAGCTGATCGTGACATCACAAAGGGGCCCGCCCGCCGCGCGTCACTGGCCGCCGAAGAGGTATCCAATCCCAGGCTGCGGATTCCCCACTCCCCGCCCCTCCATGGTTTGTTGGCTAGTGACTCCAGTTCAGAAGCCGCACTTAGAGCCTCCGGGTGCCACCTGGAGAGGCGAATGCCAGAGGGTTAAATCTCTACTCCCGGCCACTTGCAGACCTCTCAATGAAGGCGATCCCCATTCCTTCCTGGGGAATCCTCCTCTCCCCGCTTTCTCCCAGCGCATTTACCCCTCCCACTGCTCCTGTATCCTTTCTCCTGCATACTATGCCCAATTTCCCTGATCTGTGTGTATCTCGTTTCTACACATTGTCTATTTTCCCACCCCATTTTTCCTCAGCTCTCTCCCCGGTTCAGGGGGGAGCACCAGCAAGTGAGGGGAAGTTGGTGAAGCTGACGTGAACTTCTGCAAAGAGTCGGACTTGGAGAGGAATTGCTCTGGGCTGAATAAACATTGAGCTAGTACCGCTCTGTCCTGGAAAGTTTACACGCCCTGTTGAATCCATGGTTGCTACCGGAATTGGACACAAGAGTGACAGGGACAGGGATTATAAATCCCGATTTAGGTATGGAGAAATTGAGGCTCACAAATACCATTATTAGTGTATGAATTCATGTCCACTAATGCACTAAACACACACGTAAAAAAAAAAATAGGCACTATTGCCACTGCCAGACAAATAGTTGATATTTATAGAGCACTTAATTGTGTGCCAGTCACTGTGTTATCGTTTTTTGATCTTCACAACACCAAATGTATTATTTTAGTTAAGGAGACAGACCCAGGGCTGGGGATATGGCTCAAGCGGTAGCGCGCTYGCCTGGCATGCGCGCGGGGCACTGCTTCGATCCTCAGCACCACATAAAGATGTTGTGTCCACCGAAAACTTAAAAATAAATATTAAAAAAATTCATTCTCTATCTCCTCTCTCCTCTCTCTCCCTCTCTCTCTCTTAAAAAAAAAAAAAAAAAAAAAAAAGGAGACAGAGCCAGGAGTTAATCCTTTAGCTTCCAGCCCTGATGCTCTCCACTCTTCATCTGCACCTCAGGGTGCTTCAGCCTCCCAAGGGAAACCTGGCTTCCAGTCCTGTCTATGCCCCAAACTTGCTGTGTAACCTAAAACAAGTTACCTCTTGGACCTCAATTGCTTTATCTGTCATACTTAACATATTCAAAAATTCTGAGCTGACATTGTAAAATTCTCTGTAATTCTCTACCCTCAGGATTCTGCCAATCTCAAACTCTAGGCCCCAGTTCTCCTAATATCCTGTAGGTAGAGACCACAAATACATATTCTCAGAATCTCCAGAGCCAAAGTTTCTGTCTTCTCTCAGTAGAGAGCAGAACTGGTGCGTGAGACTGGGAGATACTCACCTGGCCAGTAGGAGCTAATCCAGAGGTTCATGTTCTGGTGATAAAACCCTGACCCAACCTAATATGCAACCCCCAAGTGAGGACTCAGCCCTAGTAACTCAGAGGAGCCAGGATATAATACCAGGAGACTTTTGGTGGGGGAGGGAGTAGCATCCTATTCTTTAGAATGATGTCCCTAAAGTGTCCACATTCCTGCAATGCTGAACCTCTGCCTGTCACACCCACTTCCTGCTAACTTTATATCCTACGTTGACCTCTTTGCTGGCAAACTAAATAATCCCTAACACACCTGTTCTTTCATACCACACTTGTTTAATCTATATAGAACCTTATGTGGTTCATAAGCCCCACACTCCTAATACAGCATTCATGGCCCTCTATGACCCAGACCTAGTTCTCTTCTGCTTCATTCCCCCCTTATTCTCATCCATGTACTTTGTGCTGAGGTTAAACTCCTCATTGTCTCTTTAGCATTCTCACCTCCTGGAATGCCTTTCTGAAATCCAGATCTGTCTTGTCTTCCAGATTCTACTCATTCCTTTTTCTAGGTAGTCTTCCTTGATCTACGCTTGTGTCAATGGCCACCTTGATGCACAGGCATTTGTTTATTCAGTAAAAACAGTAAGTAACCAGGAGTGCTGACATACTATAGACCCAGCAGAGGCAGAAGAATTGTTTGAGGGGCTGGGGACAAAGATGTTGTGTCCGCCCAGAACTAAAAAATAAATAAATATTTAGAAAAAAAAAAAAAAAAGAATTGTTTGAGCCCAAGAGTTTAGGGCCAACCTGGGCAGCATACCAAGACCCTGTCCCTTAATTTTAAAAAATTTAATAAAAGATAAATATGCAAGTGATGATACCTGAATGTGTATGTGTCTTCCTGAGGGGATGATGGGCATCCCAAGGGCAGAATCATTTTCCGTTCACTTCCCCACTCAGTCTGTGATGGGTCTGGCACAGAGTGGACTTGAATTCAAAGCTCAGTGTTGCAGACTGAAGCTCATGAAGGATGGTTGGCATAGGATTCTATACCTGGACCCTCTATGCTGTTACAGGCAGAGTTCGGTTCAGCACCAGGTTCCTGTTCCACAAGCCCAGAGAAGAGGGCTCTTGGCATACACTCTGGTGCCCTAAATGACCGGGATTCTATTTCCAGTATTAAATGAACCCCATGTACAGTCAGCTAGGCAGATTCCAGTCTTTCATTTCTCTGTAGAGTCAGGAGTATTCATGAAAAGTCGGGGGGCTGGAGCCCAGTGGATTTGCCTCTTAAAACCCTTGGCACCCATCCCTCCTCTCCACTGAAGAGATTATCAGAAAAAGAAAAAGAGAGGTCATCAGGGATGAAAGAGACTTCAGATCTAACTTACCCAAACCCCTCATTTTATAGGTGGGGAAACTGAAGCCCAGAAAGAGAGGGGAAAAAAAAAAAACTTCTTAGAATCATATGGTAGCTGAGCCATCTATTGACCCTTGCCCTAGGGAGTGGCCTGAGGACCCTAACTTGGGCCAGGGGCCATAAAAAGATGCAATGGAAATAAACAACAACAACAAAAAAGAGATAATGGGCATCACAATGAGAGTAATCCTGGAGTTTCATTTCCAATTGGATATGAGGTACCATTCCTGAATACACACACACGTGGCCATCCATGCATACACATGAAGGCATCCATGTAGAAATAAACACCTATGTGCACATGAGCTCACACCCATGGGGTTAAAAGTTGCCCACACCCATCTAATCCATGCCCAGATGTGAGCACCTGCCCAATTTTATGAACTCCAGAATTGGAGGTCAAGAGGCCACCCTTCTATTCCTGTCTAGGCCTTGGGCCTGCCCTCACCATGCCCTGGGGATTCCCTGTTGGCTTCCCCCACCCTACTTCAAAGGGCAGGAGATGTGTCAGCCTGGGTGTGATGCTCATGGGACCTTGTGTGTACTCACAGGTATGAACCAGTCTGTATGCCTGGCTGGAGAAACTGCTTGCCACTCCCCTCCCTCCTTGCCTTATCCACCTTTCCTTAAGATAGAGGGTGAGGTTGAGAGGAAGCCTTCAGATGTAGATCATACATTCCTCCCATGTTACTGTGAATAAACTGAAAACTTTTTAGATTTTTTTTTTTTTTAAAGACAAGTCTCATGTTACCCTGGCTGGCCCCAAACTCCTGGGCTCAGTAATCTGTTTCAGAGTAACCAGAACTATGGGTGCATACCTCCACCCATGCCTGGTAGGAGAGAAACTATTAATGTGTAAATTCAGCCAGGGCAGACATAGTCCCCACATTTCCTCCAACAAATGGCCAATACTTTAACAAGAACTTTTACTCAAAAAGAGGTTTTTCTGGTCAGGACAGCATTCATTTCAGAGAGGGGAAGCAGGGGGGGRAAAAGTAGCTTAGTTTTATCCATCTATCCCTGGGGTATGAGGGTGGGGTAGTTTCTGGGACAGTGTTGAGTGTCGAGCCACATCCCCAGCCCCAAGACTTACTAATCTTACTCTAGTACATTTTGTTTTAGTGAAAATATTTTTGTGATATTCCCAATAAATAGAGTTGCAACTGGGAGAAAATTTTTTTTTCTTTTTCTTTTGCCAAAGTCATATAGTTGAAATTGAGTAATTTGAATGTGTAGGATACCACTGACTCCAGGGTAGATATAAGCAAACTGGTACTTCTTCCAGGAAGCTCTCCAGAATCTCTCTGGGAGGAAGGAAGTGCCCTCTTTCTCCTTAGAGCTCCTAAAACCTATGGCCTGTCTCTTCCAGTACTGCACACTTTGAATTCACCACACACCCAGGAATGCTGAGTTCCTTTCTGGGAGACAGATGCTTTTTCTATATTTAAGATTCCCATTCAGTATAAATAGAAACATAAACAGAAACATTATAATTCAGGGAGATAAGAGCTAGGACAGTGGGTAGGACAAGGTGCTAAGAGAATCCAACAAAAGGGTATTCAAAGAAGACTCCCATGGAAGAGAAGACATCAGCCAGGCTTTGAAGGTCAGAAGGAGCTTGCTTTGGGGCAAAGGGGTTGAAAGTCCTGGAATAAAATTTCAAATCAGGAGCCCTACACCCTTGTTTGACTTGGCTCTGCTTCTAATTTGCTCCACGACCTTGAGTGACTTTGTCCCTCCCTGGGTCTCCATTTTTCTAGCTATACAATGGAGACATGATGAGAATWCCTTTGCTTACTCATTTTTTCTTTCTGCCCAGAACTTTCTAAGGAGAAATTTGTCTTTCTAGACTTTTGAGATAGCACTAAGATAACAGGGTGACAGAGAATGGAAAGAGGACAGGAAAGAAGTAGGGTAGGGGAGAAGACACCTTGGGGAAAGTTCTCTCTTCTGTTTTTAAGACTTTTTTTTTCTTTTATGGTGTTGAGAATCAAACCCAAAACCTTCATGTAWTCTAGGCAAGCATTCTACMGCTGAGCTACCATACCCAGCCCTTTCTTTAAAAATTCCATTTTGAGACAGGGGTCTCAATAATTTGTCTTCTCTGGTTTAGGAGGTGTTCTAAAGACTTTCATGTAATATTCTATTACAGCCTCACAATAATCCTGTGAGGAAGCCACTTTGATGCAGATTTGGAAACTGAGACACAGAGGGTAAGGAATTTGCTCAAGTTTTCCAACAACTGCTAAGTGACAGACTGACACATGAATCCAGCCAATCTAGCTTCCAGAATCCACAATCTCTGTGACATTGCCTATCAGTGTGACTTACGAGTGATAGCAAAACCTTTTTTGCCTCCAGATCCCTTATTCACAGGTGTTAGAAATCCTGCCACCACTATTATGTCCTCTTTCATAATTTTTTTAGGGGGTACCAGGGATTGAACCCAGGGGCACTGGGCCACTGAGCCACATCCCCAGCCCTTTTTTGTGAGACAGGGTCTCACTGAGTTGCTTAGCACTTCACCATTGCTGAGGCTGGCTTTTTTTTTTTTTTTAATATATTTTTAGTGTAGATGGAAATATTTTATTTTTATTTATTTACTTTTATGTGGTGCTGAGGATTGAACCCACTGCCTCACATGTACTAGGTAAGYGCTCTATCATTGTGCCAACCCCAGTCCCCTGAGGCTGGCCTTGAACTCCCTATCCTCCTATCTCAGCCTCCTGAGCCACTGGGAATGTCCTCTCTCATAATTTTATAATTGAACATTGCTCTCTCTGTTTTGTTTGTTTTTTGAGGTGCTGGGGATGGAATTCAGATGCCCACACATGCTAGGCAAGTACTCTRGAACACTGAACTATACCCCTGGCCTGCRCTGTCCTCTTTAGATGCCTCCAAAATACAACTAGTCAAAGAGGACAATTCTAAATTCCTACACATATAGTCAAATGGTCTTTCTTGATGCCTTCTCCCCTAAATGGACTCAGGAAGAAATATACATTGGGGAGGGGGTGAGATGGTAGGACATCAAAGGAAAAAAAATAAAGA